GGGTCCGGGCTGGAGCCGCTCAGCCGGGACCGAGACCAGCGCCGCGGGGCCCGAGCCAGGCCAGGCCAGAGCCACTTGGCCGGGACCGGGCTGGGGGTGTTCGGCCGGGGCCAGACCGGAGGGAGCCGCGCGCTCGACCTGGGCCACACTGAGCCCCCCTGGAACTCTCCTCCACCCCCCTGCTTACCTCCTGCCTGCTGCTTGTTTCAGGCTTCCCGCGAACATCTGATTCGCGGGGAGGAGAAGGTGGGTGGAGCGTTCAGGGGAGGAGGGGTAAGTGGGCCGTGGGCCGGATGGACAGCTGCGTGGGGCCCTCTAGGCGCGGGGCCCCATTCAGGGGAATCGGCCGAATCGGCCTAAAGCCGGCCCTGTCTCTGCTAGTCATACCAGTGAACAATTAGTGTTATGGATCATAAATCTAATTTATTTAAGCAACTGATAGATACAAGTTTATTTAGGATAAAAAGTTTCCTCTAACCAGTAGTCTCAATAGTACTGCATAATTGCACTTTGCAGTAATTAAAGTGCAATTATCCTAGTTAATGTAACATATAGAAAGTCTTATTTGTAATTCTAGATGATTTTAAATATAATGTTTAATTTCAAAAAGCAACAGAGTCCTGTGGCACCTTTAAGACTAACAGATATATTGGAACATAAGCTTTCGTTGGTGAATACCCACTTCGTCAGATGCACGTCAACCTTGTCTTGCGTCTGACGAAGTGGGTATTCACCCGTGAAAGCTTATGCTCCAATACATCTGTTAGTCTTACAGGTGCCACAGGACTCTCTGTTGCTTTTTTACAGATCCAGACTAACACGGCTACCCCTCTGATACTTAATTTCAAAAGTGTTGTTTTATGAGTACTACAAGGAGACAAAAAGCTGTATTGTTGTCTCTACTAAATCACTGATGTTTTTATTAAATCAGTACAGTCCTCAGTAGAAGAGTGACAGAGAAGAAAACACTTTAACAGAAAAATAAAAGGTGAAAGTGTCCCTTTTTCAATAAATTGGAAAAAGTATAATGAAGCTGCAAGGTTATAATAAGACTCATTACGAGAAATTAACCTTCCCCTAACAGATGATCACACATATAAAACATAGTTACCTGGTTATTGAAGCCGACACATAGTTTAGAAAACCTGATTGGATGAGGACAATCAGCTTTCAAGTAAATATCGAACTCAACAGGAACATCAACGTGAAAACTTGGAGCAAGAAACTTTGCTTTGCATTGCACTAGAATTTAAAACAAAAAGGTCTTTGTTAAGTTGATAAGACTGTGAAGCTGGAAAACTGAACTCCACCATAAACTCCCACACCTTGTACATGACACATCTACACAGAACAATCTTTTAGTTCCACCTATTCATAAATATACCAAGGTTAAAATACTGCCCTCCTACATGAAGCTAGGTAATATTCGGGACCTACACCGGGCTTTGGGAGACACAAGGGCAAAGAAGTTCAGCAGAACATAGCACACTTTCACTGCAATTATGCAGCTGCTAACGCCTCCCCCATATTCTCTTGTATTTGTGGGGTTTAAGCTAGTACATATCCTTATTTCCGTCCCTGGGAAGTTCTGTTTCAGAGGTACAGCATCCTCTCTCAGCAGAACTTTCTCTCTCTTCCACTGTATGTTAGGCCTTCAGTGGGCCAGTTGCAGCTCAGAGGATTCTTCCTGAGACAGGTCTCTCAAACTGTTTTTGTACCAACTACATTTATCCACATCACATCTGGGAGAAGGAGAAAGGGAAAAGATATAATTTGGATTTTCTCACCATCCTCCCACCCCAGTGATGTAGATAAAGAAGAAATGGATTTGTTGCCACAAGCTCTATACGCTGGCAGTTAGAACATGTTTTGCATATTTATTCCTCCTCAGTGGCATCTTCAGCAAATGAGTGCAATTTACAACACCAAAGCATAATTTATCAGGACAAAACTAGGTTTTAAAAGCTTTGTTACTTACCAAAAGGTACAAAATCTTGAACTTCTATTGTAAAAATATTGCTGCCTGCTAGGGAAACGCGGTCAGTCCACAGCTTCTGTGAAGCTTTCACAGCAGAAGCATCACAATCAGGTTCTGGATCTGGGCTCTCATTCTATACCCAGATAGGTTATAAAATAAAGATTTAATCCGATATTGAAAAATCTTTTGAACACATTTCAAGCAAGCTAAATTCTACTTGCTTACCATAAGAACTTTAATCAGGTTCTTTTCTATCCGAGACTTTTGGTCCTCTTTTAAAGTGGATGCTAATGAACAGAATTAAGGAAAGCAAACTACAAAACCAGGAGAATCCCAATCTTTCATCAGTATTAAAAGAAAGTTAGTCCCTGAACTAAGAAACCTAAAGCATTAATCTTCAGAAATCTACCACTTTCATGCAACACTTTCCAGGAGAACTTTGGTATTTCCAAATACAAATTCCATTACTTAATATTTTCTATCCATTTTAAGTCTTTCCTCTTATTCTCACCTCAGCCAATAGGAAAACACTCAATTGTGACAAAATAAACTTCTGTTTCCAAACTCTGGCTACGTGAAGTATTTTATAGCTTACAAGAAGGAAAAATTCCAAAGAGAATAATGCAATATTCTATGAAGGGAGCAATTTCCTCTCCAAGCATTGCCAATGGTCTCATGTAGTTTCTGCTTATAAGTACAAGCAGAATGGTTTGGCGTAGTGGAAGCAACAGATTCTGATAGACTGAAAATGGCAGCTGAGAAGAGATATAAAACAAATGTATTGACAGCAGAAGGACATTGTCCCTTGAAGTAGAGGAAAAGATAGGGTACAGTGAATGAGATCAAGTTAATATGAATCCAAGAGACTAAAATTACACAACAGAGTTTGGATTATTCCAGTGTAGCCACCATGCAGTAGTTGGCTAGGAGTTAAAAAGTGACATTTATATATTTTGTTATCGATACTCTTTATTTAAATATTAAAGCTCTCACTTACCCCTCCTGGAGGAGGTTGTGCTGTCTTGTTTTTGTGCAAAATGAGTCAGGTAAGTAGTCTTAGCTAGGCTATCACAAAGGGAATAAGTCTCTCTCTATGGTTATGTTTTACTAAGTTTATTTTCAACAGGTTAACATCTTTCTGATATTGTATTCTATACACTATTCTAGTTATGCAGTTTTTGGCCTCATTTTAATAATGTTATATGCATTACATCTTCTCTAACCCAATTCACTCTTAAACTTTACAGTGCGCTCCAGTTCACTCCTAAACTTTACAGTGCATTAAACTGAAGAGCAAGATGTGCAAGTTCTATGTTAGAAATAAGGGACCAAATTCAGCTCTGGCATAAGATGGTTCAACTCCAAAGTCGATGGAATTGCACCCCTTACACTGGCATGCATTTGATCGGCACAATGATTTGTGACAAGGTTGAAGACTCAAATACTATAATAACTAGCAGGCATGAGATACGCTTCTTTAAAGGATACCTCTACCCAACAGCTCTAGAGAGTAAGTAATGTAATCTTTTAAGTGTGCCATGAGGTAAGAACATTTGAGAGCTGTGGTCAATATGGAAGTAAGGAGAGTCCACCATCCTTCACTACGGTATTCACACATGACATAATCTAACAGCCTGGAAGAGGAAAAAAGTGGGACAAATGTATAATTAAGTAAAGTTATGGCTTATGTACTTGATATCCTCTTATATTGTGAACAATACTGAAGCCAACTCAAACCCACCTTTCCCTCCCCCCCGAATAGCTTAATTAATTACAGATTTACCAATAGAGACTCAAAGCTTCCCCCCCCCACCTTATTTTTATTTTATTTATAGCTGATCAAGAACCTTCTGTAAAATAGATGCATCATCTCCATTGGACAGTGAGCACCATTTTAAAAAAAGGATGTTTATTTCACTGTATTTACCTTTGTATAGACACAAAATGGTAAATGTTATGTTAAATGTAATACCTGCAGGTAGTATTGTTTTGGTTTTTTAAATGGCACTTACTGCACAAACTTAAACCAATAGAGAAATATGTACGTGACTTGCTAGAATGAAGCAAACACTTCGAACAAGAGATTTTCCAATCTCAGTTATCAGGAAGGAAACCAACCAACCAACAGTAAAAGTTCCCAAATTGCCTCCCTTAATATTAAGTACAGAATTAAAAACAGCAGCTGGAAAGAAATTAATTGTACCAGTATAACTTGTAAAAACTTTCTTGTGTAGACAAGGCCTTACAGAAAATTGTTTCCAGCTAAGCAGCAACAGCAAAGATAGGACAAACTCACTCCCACCCAACCCACACACTCTTGGAAGATCACATTCTGTTGAATTGATAACTTTTAACTGAGAGTATTAAAATGCTTAACATTAAGTAGCACAGGCATTAACCCTTCCCACTTAGAAACAAAATTAAGAAGCTGAATGCACAACACTGATTTCATGCAAGATTAAAGTTAAATTTATGACTTTAGCACACCCAGAACTCCTAAACTTCCAACAGCTTTAGTGTTTCCTGGATTTTAAATTGTTACCTGTGTAACCTTAAACTTTAAATTAACAAGTTTTATTTTAATAAATAAAAAACAGCATTTTTTACCTTTTAATATTAAATAGTAGGGCTGTCAATTAATCGCAGTTAACTCACACAATTAACTCGAAAAAATTAATCACAAATTAATCGCACTGTTAAACAATATTATACCAATTGAAACTTATTAAATATTTTTGGATGTTTTTCCACATTTTCAAATATATTGATTTCTATTACAACACAGAATACAAAGTGTACAGTACTCACTTTATATTATTTTTATTACAAATATTTGCACTGTAAAAATAATAAAAGAAACCGTATTTTTCAATTCACCTCATACAAGTACTGTAGTGTAATCTCTTATCGTGAAAGTGTAACTTACAAATGTAGATTGTTTTTGTTACATAACTGCTCTCAAAAACAAAACAATGTAAAACTTCAGAGCCTCCTACTTGTTCAGCCAATCACCAAGAAAAACAAGTTTGTTTACATTTACATGAGATCATGCTGCCCGTTTATTACGCCTCTACCCTGATATAACGCTGTTCTCGGGAGCCAAAAAAATCTTACTGCGTTATAGGTGAAACTGCGTTATATTGAACTTGCTTTGATCTGCCAGAGTGCGCAGTCCCGCCCCCCCGGAGCGCTGTTTTACCGCGTTATATCTGAATTCATGTTATGTCAGGGTAGAGGTGTATTTACAATGTCACCAGGAAGTGAGAAAAGGCATTTGCATGGCACTTTTGTAGCCGGCATTGCAAGGTATTTACATGCCAGATGTGATAAACATTCGTATGCTCCTTCATGCTTCCGCCACCATTCCAGAGTACATGCTTCCATGCTGATGACGCTCGTTTAAAAAAATCTTAAAAGAGCAACACTCAGATGCTGAAACTACAGAACCTGAACCACCAAAAAAGAAAATCAACCTTCTGCTGGTGGGATTTGACTCAGATGATGAAAACGAACATGCGTCTGTCTGCTCTGCTTTGGATCATTATCAAGCAGAACCCGCCATCAGCATGGATGCACGTCTTCTGGAATGGTGGTTGAAGCATGAGGGTACATATGAATCTTTAGCGCATACAGCACTTAAACATCAGTGTCATGCGAAAGCCTGTTTTCACTTTCAGGTGACATTGTAAAGAAAAAGCAGGCAGCATTATCTCCTGCAAATTGTAACCAAACTTGTTTGTCTAAGCAATTGGCTGAAGTAGGAGTGAGTGGACTTGTAGGCTCTAAAGTTTTACATTTTATTTTTGAACACAGTTAATTTTTTGTACATAGTTCTACATTTGTAAGTTGATAAAGAGACTGCACTACAATACTTGTATTAGATGAATTGAAGGATACTATTTCTTTGTTTTTTACAGTGCAAATATTTGTAATAAAAAATAAATATAAAGTGAGCACTGTACACTTTTTATTCTGTGTTGCAATTGAAATCAATATTTGTGTAGAAAACATCCAACAATAATAGTATACCATTTATTTAAATAGCGCAATTAATTGTGATTAATTTTTTAATCGCTTGACAGATCTATTAAATAGATATAACTACCTTCCCTAATTATTTAGGTAAGTATAGACAAAACATTCTGAAATTTTCTTTTAAGCTTTAGATTTAATTTTTTTTTCTTATGTTTTGAATGCTAAAGAATCTGAGAGGAGTATGAGTAATTAAATTCTCTTTGCAACTATCACACAGTATATTCCTAATTTTAGGCTGCTCTTATTTGTCCCACTGGGTAATCTTTTATTTGTGGACCATTGGCTGAGAATTACTCTCTTTTTCAGGGGTAACTTCTGAAGTGGACCATACAATGGGTCAGTAAGCGGGAATTAGCAATCTCAGATTCACTTCCAGAACTCCATGGGCATCACATCAAGGTAACCGAAGTCTCTTTAATGAATTTCCAACACCATCTCACAATTGATAAGGTCTATGTTCCAGATGAGAAAAATAATGCACTAAGGAATCATTCATAAATAATACTTACTTCAGAGCTTTGGTGTAATCTTTAGCATAATAATATTCTTCACCCATCTGAACCACTGAAAAGAACAAAGTCATATGTCTACAATGCAATACTTAAAATATTGTTGCAAAGATTTTCAAAGATTTGTTCGATAATTGATACTTACTTAAGTGACTCTTCATCCTTGGACATTTGTATTTCTTGAACTGTGCTACAGCATTACTCAGCAAAGTGATTATTAGCTCCTAACAGACAAATTAGCAGTAGTGATATGGCAATATTTATACTTCAAAAAAGTGTTAGAAAAATATAGAAATTACTTCTAAGATAAACTTACAGAGTGAGGAACATTTTTCTCTTTTAGTTGCAGGGCTAGAATTCCCACCTTCTCTTTTTCTGGATCAGAAAGATCAAAGCCTGCAAATGATAATGAAAAGTCCATTAAATTGGAATTTTGTCCAGTCCCAAAAGGAATTACTGTTTTTTCACAATAACAAGATAAGTGTACGTAAAGAGAGTTCTAACTCAGGCATATTTAGATTCTTCGCATTGCCATCTCTTAGGAGAAAGAATGTTTACGTTTGGAGAACTCTGCTATATTCTCTGTTCTATAAAGATAATTTTGGAACAAACATTCTTTCTAACCAGCACATTATTATTAATTTAAAAGTGAACTTAGATGTTTTAAAAACTGACTTTTCAAAGATGCCCAGATCACTGGATATATTATATTATATTATATTATATTATATTATATTATACTAAAATTTTACAAATATAATATAATATAAGACAAACTATTTGCTGGCTTCTAAGTAATGACTTCACAGTTGTGTTTTTCTACCAATAGTTGACAACATCAACACTTAAAGCAATGTAAGGAATGCTGCGCCCTGTTTATTTTATGCATTTATGAGGCTGTCAACTGTTGCAGGAAGACAGAACCCTGAATGCACATCTTAGTAGGAAACAAAAAGTTTTATTCACTTTTAAACTCCACTGATATTTATAATTTTGATTCAAGACTCAATGTTTTAAATCACACAGTTAACGAACCAATTATATTCTCAAAATAGTATCACTGTATTATGACTGGTAACACCAGAAGGAGACTGTTTTAAGGACATCAAAAGTTGCTATGCCTAAAGGTGTATCCAGGTGATCAATGAGAGAAAAATGTTGAATTCGACAGTGTGAGCATTTCAAAGTCAAGGTGCACAAACTCAATGTTCCACTGATGGTGAAAATATAATATATAGCCTTTCCAACTTTACAGCTAGTGATTCAGCTTTTCCCTTTAAATCTATTTTGATACCTGAAAAGGTGTTGCTGAAAGTGGCAGTTTTTGGTCTGTCACAGTGAGGTGCTATTTACAATGGGATGAGTTTGCAGGCCTGATTCTCGTTAACATTAAGGCTTCCTTATGACACTCTGGTCCCTCTGTCTTTCTTGTGTGTGTGTGTGTCTCTCTCTCTCTCTGCCCCCCGTTTTTGGTTCTTACTCTTCTTGTCTAACTTCTTATTGATTCTTACTTTTAGTCCAAGAGAATTTCTGGGGATATTATGGGGATTTCACTCTCTCACGTCTAGATAGGCTCATTATACTTGCCACAGTTTTAGAAAAGACATTAACAACAAAACAAAAAACATCTACATATGCATAACCACAACCAGCAGACTAAAATGATCTGTAGAACGATCATTATTTTGTGTACCACTTATTTTGTATTACACCAGCAACTAGTTTAAACACCTCTCTAGTTAGGTACAAGATATATTCATCTACATAGAAGGAGAAAACTTACAGAAATAAGATTCTAGATGTACACCTTCCTGAATTACACTTGAGATTTACACTGCCATTTATACTTTTATAAGTATAAATGGCCAAGTAAAGGACAAATTAAGGACTTAGTCCTGTAATTGGTTCTGCAGGGCAGACCACTGCACCTATTCAGTCTCTCTGAAGTCAGTTGGCTGTAAACAGGTGCAGAGAATCTGCCAATCCAGAGCTAATTACAGGATCAGGACCTCAATCCCTTTGTCTGACCTCTGTAGGAATTAAAAACAGAAAAATTATTTACTTAGTATTCCCTGACGCCATGATCTCTGTCCATAAAAGTCAAGCACTCCAGTTTGAGTTTCCAGTGGATCCGGATTGGGATAGCTGACAGAAGACTGTAAATTCAGCAAATATAGCCTTTAAAAAGGGTTCATATTTCAAACATATGAAAGATAACAGTGTTGAAGTAAAGAAGCAAAAACATACACATTTAAAGAGCAAAAAGAGGAATATCAGTTCTTAATGTATTTAACTTTTTCAACCATTTGTGTAAATTACTACTTACTAGGAAACCAGATAAGCAATTGAAAAGTGTAATACTGGCATATACAACTGAAATGGTCATAGAGGAGTTTTTAAAGTAAGGGGTAGGGGAAAGCTGACAGGTATGGAGTAGCACATAGTTTGAATAGAGACATCCCTTGGGGAGGATTTATTAAAGGAGTTTCTCTATATCCTAGCAAACAGAAGATGATAGAAGACAGGTAGAAACTAAAGAGAAACAGTCATATGAAAAAGATTTCAGAGTGGTAGCCGTGTTAGTCTGAAGCAGCAAAAACAACGAGGAGTCCTTGTGGTACCTTAGAGACTAACAAATTTACTTGGGCATAAGCTTTCGTGGCCCACGAAAACTTATGCCCAAATAAATTTGTTAGTCTCTAAGATGTCACAAGGATTCCTCGTTGATTTTTCAAATGAAAAAGAGTCCCATTCAATTACATCACATGAAGGCAGACACATTTATTTAAGTGGTTGTATTAAAATGCTAGAAGGCTAAATACTATGATGTGTGAACTTGAGAGCCTGGTATTAAATGAGGATACTGATATAGTAGGCATCACAGAAACTTGGTACAACAATGATAATCAATAGACTATGGTAATACCAGGGTGCAAAATATATAGGAATGACAGAGTAGATTGTGCTAGTGGGGGAGCGGCACTATATATGAAAGTAAGTAGAGTCAAATATAGTAAAAATCTTAAATGACTCAAATTGTCAGAATCTTTATGGATAGAAATTCCAAGCTTGAATAATGAGTGTAGCAGTAGGAATATATTACTGACCACAGTGAAATGCTCAGAGAGGCTACAAAAACAGAGAAAACCGAATAATAATGGAGGATTTCAACTTCCCCCATAATGACTGGCTACGTCACCTCAGGATGGGACGCAGAGATAAAATTTCTAGACACGATTAATGACTGCTTCTTGGAGCAGCTAGTTCTGGAGCCCACAAGGAGAGAGGCAATTCTTGATTTAGTCCTAAGTGGCGCACAGGGTGGACGAAGAGGTGAATATAGCTGAAGCACTAAGTAATAGCAACCATAATGTAATTAAATTTAATATCCTTGGAGAGAGGAAAATACTAAAGAAACCCCTTTTTAAATGCTACTGTGGTGGGAATGACACAAAAATGAGGAAGCTAGTTAAACAGAAATTAAAAGGAACAGTCACACGAGTGAAATGAAATGCCTGCAAGCAGCATGTAAAACTATTTAAAACATCATAATAGAGGCTCAAACTAAATGTATATTCCAAATTAAAAAACCCCAGTAATGACTAAAACCAAGAAAATGCCACTATGGTAAAAGAGATGGTTAGAGGCAAAAAGGCATCTTTATAAATAGGAAGTCAAATCCCACTGAGGAAAACAGAAGCATAAACTCTGGCAAGTCAACTGTAAAAGTATAATTAGATGGGTCACAACAAGAATTTGAAGAGCAACAACTAAAAGACAAAAACTAACAGCAATTTTTTTTCAGTACATCAAAAGCAGAAAGGCTGCCAAGCAATCAGTGGGGCCACTGTACAAACCAAATGCTAAAGGAGCACTCAAGGAAGACAAGGCTGTTGCAGAAAAGCTAAATAATTACTTGCATCAATCTTCACTGCAAAGGATGTGAATGAGATTCCTTCACCTGTGCCATTCTTTTTAGGTGATAAATCTAAGGAACTGCCTCAGATTGAGGTATAAATAGAGAAAGTTTTGGAACAAATTAATATTAACTGTGGTATGAAACCTATTGCTTAAATCAGCCTCTGCGCCAGATGATAGGAGAATAGCTAATATAATGCCAATTTTTAAAAAAGGCTCCAGAGGCACTCTTGACAATTACAGGCCAGTAAGCCTAATTTCAGTAACACGCAAACTGGTTGAAACCATAGTAAAGAACAGAATTACCAAACACACAGATGAACACAATATACTGGGGAAGAGTCAACATTGCTTTTGTAAAGGGAAATTATGCCTCACCAATCTATTAGAATTCTCTGAGGGTGTCATCAAGCAGGTGGACAAAGGTGATCCAGCTGATAGAGTGTACTATACTTTCAGAAAGTCTTTGACAAGGTTCCTCATCAAAGAATCTTAAGCAAACTAAGCAGTCATGGGATAAAAGGGAAGGTCCTCTTATGGATCAGTAACTGGTTAAAAGGTAGGAATAAATGGTCAGTTTTCACAATGGAGAGAAGTAAATAATAGGGTCTTGCAAGGATCTGTACTGGAACCACTGTTTAACATATTCATAAATGATCTGGAAAAAGGGGTGAACAGTGAGGGGCAAAGATGGCAGATGATACGATACAAAATTACTCAAGATAGTTAAGTCCAAAGCTGACTGTGAAGAGTTACAAAAGGATCTCACAAAGCTGGGTGGCTGGGCAACAAAATGACAGATAAAATTCAATGTTGGTATATGCAAAGAAATGCACATTGAAAAACATAATCCCAGCTATATATATAAATGAATGGGGTCTAAATTAGCTGTTACCACTCAAGAGGTATCTTGGAGTCATTGTGGATAGTACTCTGAAAACATCTGCTCAATGTGTAGTGGCAGTCAAAATAGCTAACAGATTATTAGGAACCATTAGAAAAGGGATAGATAATAAGACAGAAAATATAATAATGCCACTATATAAATCCATGGTACACCCACACCTTGAACGCTGCATGCAGTTCTCGTCACCCCATCTCAAAAAAGATATTAGAACTGGAAAAGGTAAAGAAAATGGCAACCAAAAATGATGACTGGTATGGAACACCTTTTATATGAGGAGAGATTAAAATGACCGGAACTGTTTAATTTAGAAAACAGATGATTAAGGGAGAGAGATGACACCATAAAACAATGAATGGTGTGGAGAAAGTGAATAAGGAAGTGCTATTTACCCCTTCTCATAATACAAGAATGAGGGGTCACTCAATGACATTAATAGGCAGCAGGTTTAAAACAAACAAAGAAGTACTTCTTCACACAATACACAGTCAACCTGTGGAACACATTGTCGGGGATGTTATGAAGACGAAAAGTATAAATGGGTTCAAAAACGAATTAGATAAGTTCATGGAGAATAGGTCCATCAACGGCTATTAGCCAATATGGTCAGGGATGCAATCACATGCTCTGGGAGTACCTAAGCCTCTGACTGCCAGAAGCTGGGACTGGACGATAGGCTGGAATTGTCCTGTTGTGTTCATTCCCTCTGAAGCATCTGCCACTAGCCACTGTCAGAAGACAGGATACTGGGCTAGATGCACCATTGGCTGTACTGGGTCAAACCATTCTTACGTTCTCAATTCAGTCTAACACCACAGCCTATTTACTTTTGTTTGTTTTTAGCATAACTTGTAATTGGTGTAAACTAATTACTTTTCCTTTTAAAGTCTGCACAATTATAGGCAGTTTTGTTTATTTTTTTTTAGCCGGTTCCTAACAAGATTGCCCAGCAGTGACAGGTAAGTAACATCAGTAGGAATTCAGCATCATATTTTAAATGACTGACACGTCAGTGTGAAAGTATAGTTTGGAATAATTATACATAAGTGTTCATAGCGGAATACAAATTGGCTCCTTTTTCAGACTTTTTCTGCCAGGTAAGTGCTGAACAATTTAGAAACATTTAGAAAATATTTTACATAAAATCTGCTACATAACTAAAAATTGGTTTTTACAGTTGAGGTCATTTGGGATAAAGTGATGATTAATTTATTTACTAATGGTCAATTCTTCCAAATACTGTACTAGGTATTTCTGTTCGTAGGTTGCTAATAAAGGCATATTGTTGGATTTAGCTTCATCCATACTAGAGTGAAGCTTTAATAAACAAACATTTAGAACAAAAAGTTCTGATTGGCAAACAGTTTGCAACTTACGTCATGGTTACAGAGTACGTTGGCTAGTTGCTTCCGTTCCTGTGCATAGTATGCTGCCTGCTGGTAATAGAAACCTGGATTCTGAGTCTGAATTGCTGTCAAGCCTAGTTTGATAGCCTCATCAAACAAGTCTCCAAAGGCCTGAAATCTTTAAAAACAACATTTTTTACCTGAATATTTACTATAAAATGTAAGATTAAGCTTTAACTGTGTGATATATGTGGCTATGGTTAAGTACAATACACAATGGATTTGAACTAAAGTGTCATTGTAAATTAAAGGTCCAGTTCATCCAAGGCTTTCATAGGTTTTTGAACCTCAATGACCTATCCTACAACTGCATTCATGTGGGAGCAAAACTGCCAGGGTCAGGGCCCAGCTATTTTGAAATAATTGTACTAAGTTTTGTAAAATGTGTAGGGTTTTAATTTCCATATGCATTCAGTGCTCATGACTGATGCTGACTGACAGCCCTGGAGACTGAAGTCCTCCTTTTACATGCAGAACAAATAAAGACTGGGCAATGACAATGAAAGCCTCCTAACTCCTCCCCACTAACTTGAGGCAATCCCAATACGCAGAACCCTCCCGCCCGCTCCCTCAGAGGACGGGAATCTTTACAGCTATGGCCTGCTGTCTACTGTATGTTTAAAACACAGTATAATGTTATGATATCTTTGTGAGGTTGGCATATATTATGAAGTTTTAAATTCCTACTGAAGTCAGTTAGACAAAGCTTCTAATAACAACTGTAGAATCAGACTCTATATCTCACAGTAGGTACCACATGTTGAAGTCCCACCAGTTATGAATTACTGTCAGTTATTAATGCAAAGCACACTGACACAGGACAATTAAACTAATACATGTGTAAGTATATTACACCTTTTAATATCTATTGCAACTCTTTCATGAAGGAAAAATTCAGAATTTCACTGCTTCTCTAGACATAAAACAATTAACTTTGTGAAATGCTTATTCATGAGCTACAATGGAAGTATTACTTAGCAAAAACATACTGTTTAGACATCCAGGCAGCATGCTCAAAAGCCAACTCTGCACTGCCTATTTTTTTCTTGCACAAGTCAATGTGCTTCCTGAACTGAGCAATTGCATCCAATGGGGTGTTATGCTGAAAACAGAGGCGACAAATCTACAGGAATCAAAATAAAAGGAAGACTTTAAAATCTTTATCAACGGTCTAATCAAAGTTCAAATTTCTAAAAGTAAATCTAACATTAGAAATGTAGTAGGTAAATGGTAAGATCCCAAACAATTTAGAAGTAAAAACAATATAAAAATGAAGGTCGGATACAACACCTGATAGCGTTTTATATGAAGCAAACAGGGTTCCATGCCACATATCCACATGGCCCTCCATGGGGGGGGGGGTGGGGGGGGGGAGGGAGAATCAAAAGGCACAGATCACACTCACCTCAGAAGAGAGTGAACACCACACACACTCCCAGATCCAGCATGGAACTGCTGGACTATTTGGAAGAGGAGGGATGCACAGCGCCAGATATCCTTTGGAGGCAGTGATCTTCCCCACAAAGGCTATGAAGTCTGCAGTAATCCAAACCTGCTGGATATCCCTTTCAAGGGCCTGGTCAAGGACCAGCTCCAGTAACGTTTTTTTTTTTAAATTGGTAGGTAGGAAGACACTTTGCTGACCCAAGGTCCTCTAAAATCTGTTCTTCCAAAGGAAGAGCCATTCTTTCCTCAGGATTACTATTCCTTCTCCACCTTTTAAAACGGGGGGGGGGGGGTCATTAATCTATAGGCTACATGAACTTGTTTCTGTTCTATAGGCTACATGAACTTGTTTCTGTAAAGTGCTGTTCATTCCCACTGACTTCAAATGGGAATTGAGGAGGTGCTAAACTCTTCATGGGATGGAGCCCCATGTAAGCTCTAGCCCTTTAAAAAACAAAACACAATACTAAACATCTGAACCCAACTTCTACGGGGGAGATATTTTCTCCTTGGAATTTGACGTAACCTCCACAAGCTGGAATTTAGGGGGACTGCAGCCAGGTAGTACCTTAGAGCTAGATAGTGCTCTAAAAGCAATAATATAGGAGAGGTATTTTTAAAATTAAATCTTTACAGATTCTGAGTCCTTCAGCTACCTTCGTATTTTAAAATGTACAGGTTTGCTAAAGGTTACAACAAATTTGTTACCTTGTAGTTTATAAATCCTGCCATGGTCTTGATTTCCAACATGTTCGTTTCATGTGCCCTCAATTCATGTACAAGATTATATGCAGTTCTGTAATTTCTAAATATGAATGTTTACAAGTTAGGTTGGTTGGTATACCAAAACAAAACAAAACCTATTCAAACAGAAAGAATCTGCATTCAATGAAAATATTTTTTCTGGTGAAAAGCTCATTGATAACAGTAACACATACAACTGACTCTGCATTCACAACACCCTCAAGCAAACTTTCTATTTCTATTTATTGGTCATGACAAAACTTTCCTGCCTTTTTCCAATCAGCAGTTTAGGAATGATGTAAAAAGAAAAGAAAAAAACAAACAAACCCAAACCCTGTACTTTTTTGCTTCATTAATCTCTACCAACAGGCAGACTGAACACAAACTGCAATAGTCAAACTAACACTAGGATTACACGTTCCTAAAAGTACGTTAAAAACATTTCTGAAATACTAGTAAATCTTCAGATTTGATAAACAGTAGCACATATTCAGAGATGTAGCACAGAAGTCAGAAGCTGGCTATTTTTTTGTTAAGCAACAAAATAGTAAATTAGAATATTGTGAAGTTTGGATTTAGTTACAGTGTTTGGTTTCAGAGATACATCTAAAAATATCCAGAAGTGAAATTCAGAAATCTTCGCAGAAAGTATCCATGGAATGTTTTCCTTAGCAAGATACGCTAAGTAATACCACCTGAGGGTCAGCTCTAAGCATGCAACTGACTATGAAGTCTATCCAACAAAAGCAATTAAGTACACACTCAACTTTAAAACATGAGTAGTTCACCAATTGACTTGTTTGTTATCTTTTTTTATTAGAAAGATGCTGACAAATAATGATAGTAAAGGTTGGGAGCTTACTTTTCCTATATTCCATTTACCTTAATAGAAATGTGACCTTTAAAGCCCAATTGAGACCATTTAAATGCTGACATTAAGAATAGGCAAATACATGTCTCTCCAAATTTTCATTAAAGAAAGTAACAAATAAACAAGGAATTAGATGCAAAAATCATTTAAAGGCAACATTAAGTTGCACAGCTGCATATCATTAAGGAAATGCAACAGTTAAGGCTCCAAGAGCAATTGTGTGGGGGAAGGAGGGAGCATGTGTGGGCATATGCGTGTAGAGTATTTTCTATGCCCTTTGTTTTAAAGGTAGAGTTTAATTCATTGCTATTTAGGTCTTAATGTACTCCGTAAGAAATACAGGATGTACAACACATCAGTTAGTGTTGAAGTTGGAACCTTAACCTTTGTACTTCTAAAAGTTATTTTATATCAATGTAAATTTAGAAACATATTTGAAGTATGAAGAAGTTGAACACAAACTCAAGAAAATTCTTCGTATCAATATTTATTCTGAACAAAACAGACTAACAAACGCATAATTCATTACACTGTAGAATGAGCTCAAAATATTGATTGCTTGATTTTTTACAACTGCCCAAATATAAATTTAAGTTTTACATTTCACTAACCCTGAAACTATCAAAATAGTAACAGAAGTCACTGAGAAAAAAGAAAGTTTACTTACTTTAGAGCATTCTGTGTATCCTGTTTCAGCTCACTGAAAAATGCTATTTTGAACTGATGTCTCACAAATAAAAGCTGCAAAACACAACCAATATTTTATTGGTACCAATAATCTAAATGGAGTACAAACATTTACAAAATTGGAATATATTTAATATTCAGAGAAATCACAGATAACTTAGTTGGAAGTATGCAGAATATAAGGAAGTGTATAGATATCACAGAAAACAATAATGAGTAGTTGTTTAATAGCACGACACACAGAGCTCTTTTGCCGAACCTAATTTATTGCTCCAACCCCAAAAGAAAGGGACAGCCTTGTACCGTCCATCAGTGACCTTGAATAGACACCTTAAGGACACATCTCGTGGCTCTGAAGGCAATCTTGTCCTGTTTTCCAAAATAGAGGATAGCTGGTGGTTGCAACACAAGTTCGTGTGTCAAAACCAGTATTTGGTGAATTGAAAAGAAAGAAAATGATTACCAAGTTAAGCCCAGAAGTCTGTAGTAAGTGCCCTCTACAGCCTGAGCTAGAGCACTGCACAGAAAAACAAAACTTCCTTATAATTTCTCCCCTTTTGCAAAGTTTTAAAAATCTGCTTGACACTTCCTGTTTCAGAGAGGATATCCCAAAATACATCGATCCAGGATATCCCAAATATCAGAGATTGCAGCAAGACACTTGGAATTTGGTGTGTTGTTTTCTGGAATAATTCAGGCTGACTTAAGGTACCAAAAGAATTTCAGCACAGAAATTTTATTTTCAAAAAGTGAGTTGAAAACTTGTTTCTATGCTGAAAAACACTACTACCACAAGTCTGACAAAGTGGGAGTTTTCAGTATGTAACTCTGGATTTAATTCCACTGTCATTTTTTATTTGCAGTTCACCTTTAAAAGGTGAATTTCACTTTAGTTGATGTAAGGTAAGAAAAAGGACCATATCTAGGATAAAAGTGAAAAAGAAAAAAGTGTGAAAATAATTTTGTTTTGTTTTAGCATTCTTATATTTAAAAAAAAAATACATCCTATATATGATACACAGGATATATTATAAGTCATCTATATTTTTAGAATTATATTATTTAAAAAGGAGTAGCATTACCTGATGTGTTGTTTTATTCAAGAATTCTTTATGAGATTTTACCCTTCTTATTTCTGTATAGTAGTAGGTCTGTGCATGCTCATAAAAAGCATTCTCTAATCTGTAAGAGAGAATTGCTCATCACTTTTTAAGCAAATAAAGAAGTTCTTTCAGTATATACAGGATCTAAAGTACTTTAATTTAGGCTATTTTTAACACTATTCCTTCTACAATCACTGTAAGCTGGACAAAAAAAAAAAAACCCAAAAACATAAAAACTTAAGTTACTGGTACCAATTTAGGAAAGCACTAAATTAAAAGTTCTTATGATATTTGTTTTAACCTACATTATCTGCCTAGAATATTTTTGAGACAAGGTGGGCGAGGTAATATCTTTTATTGGACCAACTTCTGTTGGTGAGAGAGACTTGCTTCTGAGCTACACAGAGCTCTTCAGGTTGGGAAAGGTACTCAGGCTTGGTTTACACCAAAGAGTTAGGTCAACATAAGGCAGTTTATGTCAACCTAATTATGTCAGTTTCTACATTAGAATGCTGTTGCTGACGAAGTAAGTGGCCTGTTACACCGACATAATAACTCTACCTCCACGAGAGACTTAAGTTGGTGGAGTTAGGGCATCACAGTGTCTGTTAAGACACGGTTACTGACATCAGCAGTTGGCTAACAGTCTTGTCAGTTTCATGGCTGCTTCTGGCTCAGAGCAGAAGCAGGGGGCTCACAGCTGAAGCCATGAAACAGACAAGAATGTCAATTTCAGTGCTGGTATTCTGCCTGCTGTGAAACTGAGCCCAGGCTGGGCTCACAACTCCGGCTGTCATCCCGGGTGGGTTGGGGGCTCCTGCTGTGAGCCCCGCACAGCTGTCAGTGCCCCACTTCACTCAGTGCAAGTGCTCCTGGCCAACTACAGCCAATTGACTTACTGCAGTGGTTGTAGGTCGACCTAAATTAGTTAACCAGCATTTTTCACTTACCAGCATCCCCTGTTCCCTCAACATGCCAGATAAAACAGCTTGTACTGTAGTTGGCATATACAGAAAAACAATGAAGACACCTAATGAAGGCAGACAAGGAAAAAGCAAACACTTGCCTAGCAGTAGCTTCAATCTCCCTTAACCAATAGGGCTAGACGTACTATACAAGTGTATAAAAAGACCAAGAGTGAACCAAAGGCAGTCTTTGGGTTTCCTGACACTATCTCTCAGAAGTCTATTTAGTAGCAGGTTTTATGGCCTACTTAGAGGGAAGGTGCCAATCATAACATGACCTTATGGAAAAAGGGCAAAGGTTAAAAAAACTTATTGGAATAATCAGGACTCAGCATGATGTGAAGTGTTTCAACAAAGGAATAAAATATGAGTAATGTAAGTTTACAATTGCTCTAAAGCGGACGTACAGGAGAGTTGATATCTACATATCATATGTCCCTTAATAGACTGGAAAAAAGGCACTGCAGGAAGAGACTTTTACCAATTCACTTACCTTATAATGTAACCAACCAGATGATCAGTGTGTGGCAGCACAAACAAGGATTTTCCAGAGAGGTCACAAGCATTACATAAAGCTGCTGCTCTTTCTGAAGCAATAACATCTTCCCCTAATGAAATCAAAAGAGCATGCAAACAAGCATCAATTGGCAGAGCAGTGTCAAATTGCACTCTTCTCAAAGCTTGACTATCACAAGCTATGGAACAGGTGATATACCTAAAAAGATAGACTCTCTCTCAGGTCATCTGAAACACTGAGGCTTTGATTAGCAGAATATCATTGTGGCTGAATAACCCCCAGAAGACCTGAGGAACAAGCAGGGTACTCACAAAGCACTTTATAGATGAATTTATGGTACTAGTCATGTGAATTTAAAAAAAAAAAAAATACACAAAAAACAACCACTGAGAGAAAAAAAAACTCACACTTCTGTAGCTCTGCACCAGTGACTTTTAGAGATGTAACAAGTAAAAACAAACAAGCTCCTTCTTCCATGATTTCATGTAGTTACAGTTTGGGATAGATTGATTTAGGATGCAATCCCTTCAAATTTCTTTCCTGAATGACTGACATTCAGTCAGACAGTGACGAATTTATCCCTTGACGAAGTTTGGCAATGGGGGTAAAAATGTACTGTGTACACTTCATAACAAACACCTCTCACCCCCATTCAAAATGGGGCCCTCATAACAGTTTGATTGGGCAGAAATAAGTACTGAGAATGGTAAAATGCATGGGCTTAATGAAGAGCCTTAAGCCTTGTGTCTGTTCCAATCTGACATTTTAATAAGGAAATATTCATAATGACAATTGAATATTCTTACACTAAAATGCTTATGCAGTTACCAAATGCTTCAGTGCAGCTTTTAAATCAGCTGTAATTACAGTTTATTTTTAATTGATCTCAGGTAAGCATTAAGGGACAACTGCTTTGTAGGATAGGTTACAGTCATATTTGCAATAGGCTTGATACACAGTATCAGAAGCTGGACACAGAACTATGATTTTTTTTGAGGAATTGAAATTGGTTAAAAAAAAGAAGGTAATGAAAAAGCACCTGGACTTTAGGGCCAATTTTTCAGAGCAAATTTTCCATTGTGTATGTGTATGTAGTGGCAAGTGAATTTTTGTGCACACAAATCGTGCATGAGAACAGCATGCAAAGTGCACAAATGATGACCAGGGTAAAGTCCCTTTGAAAATGTGGTCCTCATATTTGCATACACTGCAGTTTGATTAGCCTTTTAGTACCTGGAGGTAAGGGTGTTTTCTTTTGAATCAAAACCACAGCAACTTTTGTGTTTCTTCCCTGCAAACTTTGTCTGAAATAGAAGAGTTGCAATGACAAGCTCACATTTCATGTTTATACAATGACTTTCAGTCTACTTTTAAAGTCATTAAAAAATTGCATATAAAAGGCACATGCACCATCCATGAGATACATATTCTCTCTCCTTTTCTCAGATCGATTGTAACAACAGCATTCTTAATTTCACTGATTTTAGAAAACAGGAAGTAAAGGTGGCTCCCAAGCAACTTTGCCAATTTACATTCTAAAATAAGACATCTTTAAATCCTCTTAAATATATATCTAATATTCAAAACAAAATTTCTATAATGATTAATCTAGAAAGAGCCCCATCAACCTAACACAAAATTATATTTTTTAAAACAAAAAATAAGATGAAACTGCTTTACGGTACGTACAAATACTTTACAACCTATACAAATACAAGTTAATACTTATAACCCAACTGAAACAACTGTACCTGACAATTTCAACTCTGGTAGCACATTCTGACTGTTTTTCTTTCCACTGTTGCTCATCCCAGTCCAGTTCATAGAACACCACAACAAGAGCTGGCACCAGATTCAGATGTTTATTCATCCAGCCAGTCTTCAATATCCCTTTTGGAATGTACCACTCATAGGATGTTCTCTGAAAATATTAATTTAACTTATTAAAACGAGCTACCAACCCTGTTTATTTTTGCTGTGGTATGTGCATGGGGAATTCCACGTGTCCATGATCAGTCCTGAGGACTTGATCTTTCCTCTATCAATCTTGCTCTCAAGTGTCTGCTTCCTAATGGAGAAGGTGTGGTAGGATTTTTTTTTTAAAACCATCACACCCCATTGTTGGCTCAAGAGCCAGAAGTATGCCACTGAAACATCATCAAAAATAGATTTACATGGGGGGGGGGGGGAGAAGGAGTGTCGGAAGGAGAGATTCTGACACTAAAGAAAAGTCAACTTCAGGAAATATAAAATACTTTGAACTTACATAGTACATGCAAAGTATTACCCCCATTTTACAGAGAGGGAAACTGACAAAGATGCAAGTTACTTGTCCTAAATCACAATTAAAAACAAAATTAGGGAATAGACTCCAGGTTCTTTATTTCCAACTCTCCACTGTAATAAGTAATCACTGGACTATGCTGCTTATCAAGTGTCACACTAGTTGATATGTCTCTGTTTCACTGCAGAGATTCAGGTACACCGCACATACTGTATTTTACTCTGTCTCACCCAAACAGCTGCTTTAAAATTTTTTCCAGAACATCTAAAAATTGATATTTGAAATGAAAAAGTGTCCAAATTATTGATGTAAGACTGATGCTTCCTTAGCATGCAATGTTTCCAGATTTCAATTAACTTTCTAATAGCTAATTTTTCTGACTGAAGATTTACACAGAATAATCACAAACAGCAAACACTTTACAGTACGTCATTTTATAGTTTGCATAATACGTTAAATGTATTTTAAGTCTTTATAAGAAAAGCCCACAGACTATATACCTTTGTTCTGCATTTGGGATACTCATGGTCACCAGGAAGAACTTTGAAAGAAATTGGTACTCGGTCAGCTCTCCTGTTTGCACAAAAGGCATCCCAAACCGCACGATGAACAGCATTATATACTACATCCAAGCCAGTGAGGGTTACAAAGGCCATAGGCCGACAACATAGTTCCACAGGGAAGTCCCATTGTGTTGGGCTCATCTTGAAGTTTTAAAGAACGCCTGAAAAACAAAAATACCCCATATCTCAAATCCTTTTCAAACGTGCAATTTCTGATTAGATACAAAAGATATCTCATTAAGAAAAATGCATTAAACTAGTCTTTTTACTTAAGACGCAAGTTAAATACAGTCTGCTCACTCAACTTAAAATGCAAGGAATACAAACAATTTTAAAATGCAGGGATTTAAAAAAAAAAACTCAGATAAGAATCAGTCGATAATGTTTTTTGGAGGGTGGGAAGAACCTGAAAATGGGGGGGAGGGGACAATCATTGCATCTCAGGCAAGATCAAACTTTTCTGATTTATTTCATATTGCTCAGACACTGGCACTATTAGCGAAGTTGTGAGCCAAAGGGCCACTGGAAGTTGAGGAGGCAGGTTAGGGGCTGGCCTGAGAACTCTGATGGCCCCAATCCTGCAGTTGGATCTGCATAAACAAACCTATGAGCTTGCAGAGCCCAGGTTCTACTCAGGCAGAGTCAATTGCAGGCTAGGGCTTATATCTGTTATCACTATAAGAAGCAGTCTGCTTACATAAAGTTTGCATCGGCCAGGTACTGTATATAACAACAAGCATGTTCTTCCTCACGGTGGCATTGTCATTTTTAGCACCAATCTCACGTTTGATGCAGTATACTATACAAAGATGGTCCCTGCTCTGAAAAGCATGATGTCTATAGACATGGTGCACTGAGAAAAACAGAGGTAGAACAACAGTGCGGATTGTTGTTTAATTTATAAAATTACATTAAGGGGTCATTTCTGTTTTCACTAAAGGGAAAGTGTGTTTTTGTCAGTGCAGCTTGACCACAGACATAGCCCAACCTGCCAGTAACGAACATAGGCGGGGGGGGACAAAGGGTTTCTTTAACACTATGTGCCAAAGGCGCAGAGAGCAAGTGACGAGCAGGATGACCAGGAGCAGCTCCCGGCGGGAGAGTCACCCAGGGCTAACCCGCCAGGCTCAGCCCCTACAGCAAGTCCCCCGCCACGGCCAGCCCCGCACCGTCTCTGACCCACCGCCAGCGCCCGACCCACAGCAACCCGCCTTCCCCACCCGGCCGCGGACCTTTCCCCGCCGCACGGGGCAGCCACACAGTAAACAGCCGCCGGCGCGGCCAGCAGCAGCTCCGTCCTACGACCTCCAGGAAGTGAGCTCTCCGCGGGCCCCTACCCACCGGCACCGCCCGCAAGCTGCCACTGGGCAGCAACAGAGATGGAGAATCGCCTCCGGAAGCCACAGCAAGGGAATAAGAGTGACAGTCCATTCCACCAATCAGCGTTGCCTGCTCAACGACAAAGTCAGCCATTGGGTCTCGAGAACCGTCGTAGGAACCAATGAGAGAAAGAGAAAAGAGGCGTGGCCACAAGATTTAGCCAATTGTCGTGCGGGATTGGTGATACTATGGAAGACGAGCCCAATCATAGCTCATAGCTCGAAATAGGCGTCAACACAGCAGCCCTGGCGTGGCTTGGGGAACCAGTTGGGGGTTGTGGTGACGATCGGCAGCGCATGCGCGCTGTGTTCGCGTGTGGGTTCGGGTACCGGTTGCTGCGCTGTGTGAGAGTCCCTGGGCTGAGGCGGGGGCTCCCGGCCCAGGGCGATGGCGGCGAACGAGGACCAGGAGGTGAGACACCAACCCCGCCTCCCCACGGCGGCAGCTGCCGCTCAGCCGCACCGCGCTCGGCGGGTCTCTGGGGCTGCTGCCCGCCCTGCCTGGCCCGGGGACGGAGGCTACCTCGCTCCGTGATCCCGGGCGCCGAGGTCTCCGGCCCGCCCTGCTCGACCACTCGCGGCGCTGACCGCTCCTCCCCCCCGGGATCACGGATTTTTTTTAAATCCAAATAAACGTAACTTGGAAAGTGATGCAAAAATAAGCCAGTAACGTTAGCAGCAACCACGCCTGACTACTGCCGAAGTTTAGCTAACCAGCTGCACAAAGAGTCAGCCAGCGGTGTCCTGTGCTAGGAACCGACAGGCGCTTTCCCCTTACTCCTCTCCGAGAGACCTCAGTCAGCTGCAGAGGATTTTCACTTTTAATTGAATGCTACATCAATCATATTGTTTCTTAGGTGGCATAGTCCTATATACTTATCTTTGTACTTGGTAATTTCTTTAAAATATTTTAATACAGTGTATATGATCCATGTACACATCATATGTGATTGTATTAATTCAACCAACGGCATGTTAGATTTTATTAACTGTAAATACCATGCAGAAAGTCATTCTGTGATAGGTACTTGGGTTAATAGATATTCTGGTCCCTACTCACTTATGAAATCCCTTTCTTGTAGTTTTGTAGAAAGTAATACGGGAAGGATGGAAATGTTCTTGAAACAGATGTTTGGTATTTTCTTGGAAGTTAAGAATAAAGTTTTTGTTTTTTAAAAAAGTGGTCTTCTAGAGTTCAGTAAAATGTGCTAAAATGGGTAGTGGGTTTGTAGAAAGTAAATTGAATTCAGACTAGCATGCCAGGTTTGTTGAACTCATATTCCACTAACCTAAAATAGGATTACAGAAGTATCAGACCAGATATCTAGACTAATTATTGCCTAAAACTTAATTTGTTTATTTTTTTTAAATGAAAAACAGAATATGTGGATTTCTGTATATTATGCTGACACTCATCTTTTATATCTGTTCAGTATCCAATTGAAATTGCTAACCTTTTTCTCCATCTGTTCTTTTCAGATGGAGCTAGAAGCATTACGTTCTATTTATGAAGGAGATGTGTGTTTCAAAGAACTTAGTCCTGTTTCCTTTCAGTATAGGGTAAGACCACATCAAGCTTTAATTAGATGTAATATATCATTCATTTAAAATTATTCTGCACATTTTCCATTACAAAGCATTTTCTTGAAACAGATGGATATTCACCTATTTAGCAATAAAGGCATTAAGTGCTGTTTTACATAACTTCAAAATAACTTGCCATGACAAACTTAAATGTAATTAAAGTTACCTTTTTGAACAAAAGCAAACATTACAATAGCAATTATCACAGTCAGAGGAACAAGTAAAGTATAACTTGTCATGAAAAAACATGAGCAACTGTAATTGAACTTGTAGGGAACTAATACTGAGAGACTAAGTAAATAACTTATGCTCCAGTCCTGCAAACACAGATTTCCTTCATTTTGCTAACGTGAATAGTACTGCTGACTTTTCTCACAAGAGTAAAGTTAAGTATGTCTGTAAGTGTTTGCAGGTTTGGGACCTACAGACACACAAGGTATGTTGAAAATAGATCATGATATTTAAAAAAAATCTGAATAGCATCGTGTAACTTTCAAAACTGAAAGTGTCAAGTGAATGCAATAATGTTGCTGAATCTTTACTGAAAGGCAAAGAAAACCAATCTATTGTAAATGGAAGAATAATATGATAGCATCAGATCTGGCAATATGTACTTTTCATTAGGTAGAAAGTCAGTGGAATAGAGTTGAAAGGATTAGTCTGCCATTATCCTGAATGTAGTTAGTGTACTGCACAGCACATTGATTACAGTTAATTATAAAATAAGACCAAAAGAAGACACGACAAAGATTTCTCAAATAGTGGCAAAATGCAACATGCTATTCCCGAAAAGCTTACTATAAAGACATTTGAAACTTTGAATCAATGTAAATCTAAACTATATATTGAGTATATTAGGTTCCTACTGCTCACAATCATCTTTACATAATCTTTGGTGTCCCTTCTCTTGCTCCTTCCACATAGATCCAACAAAGCCAGAATTAGCCTTGCAGCATGTCCTGCAAAGAATAGGCCTCGTCCACAAGGAAAATTTTCACACTTTTACTTGATGCTTTTAAAATCAATATAGTTAGGCCAGTGAAAACCCCTGTGGGGGCATGGATAGGAATACACCACAGAAACTGAAATAAGTGGCCACAGAAGGATTTATGCAGGTTTAATTAAATCTGTTTATAACGACACCTTTAGATGCAAGCTTTTCATGTGGACAAGGCTTTCCCTGGGTATGATGGGCTTAGGTGAACAATTTTTATGAGCTGACTTGTTAGTTGGTCGTCTTTGCCTCCCATCCCTAGAGACAATTATTGCAATTTAATAAGTCTTAAAAATCTTACCCATTACTTATGAGATCAAAGGTAGCTAAAACATATGTTTTTTTTTCCACAGCATTATGCTGCTTGGTTTGTATTTAGATTAGACAATGAAGAGAAAGCAAGTTTCATTTTCTGGTTCTCATGTAGAATGTTAGAATATTTGGATTACAAACACTGACAAAATGTTTAAATTGCACAAGCCATTTTATAGAAATTTTAAATATATCTCTTGTTTTGTAAAAAGTTTGAGTATAGGTTATACTATTGTGTATCTAAATTTAAAATGATTATCAGTAATGACAGGTTTCAGAGTAGCAGCTATGTTAGTCTGTATCCACAAAAAGAACAGGAGTATTTGTGGCACCTTAGAGACTAACATTTATTTGAGCATAAGCTTTTGTGGGCTACAGCCCACTTCATCGGATGCATAGAATGGAACATAGTGAGGAAATAATCTCCACACACAGAGAACATGAAAAGGAGGGAGTTCCCCTACCAACTCTAAGAGGCTAATTAATTAAGATGAGCTATTGTCAGCAGAGATGCTTTTGACCTACACAGAAGCTCTCTCTCAGTTCTGAGAGGAAGAGCTTCTGTGTAAGTTGAAAGCTTGTCTCTCTCTTCAACAGAAGTTGGTGCAATAAAAGAGATTACCTCACCCACCTTGTCTCTAAGGTTTGATAACAGACGAGGCTTCCCATTTTAAAGTGTTTCATCTCCTTTCAGATAGGTGAAAATGGCGATCCCAAAGCCTTCCTAATAGAAATTTCATGGCCAGAAACATACCCCCAGACAGCTCCAAACATATCCATGAATGCTTTCTTCAACAACACCATGTAAGTATTTCAGTTACTTCCTCTTTTGTTTTACATGTGGTCTCTCTCTTACAATATTCTTGAATTCTTTTGGGCCTGTAATTGGATTTTATGGTCTCTTCTAGATCTTCAGCTATAAAACAAAGTATATTGGATAAATTAATGGAAGAAGTTGAAGTTAATCTTGGAACGGCCATGACATACACACTTTTTGAATATGCCAAAGATAATAAAGAATTGTTCATGGAAAATCAACCTGTTCATATTGTGGTAAGTGTATAACTTGCATTTTGATCTATTTTAGTTTTATAAATGAACTTTTTTTTTAATACAACAAAAGGAATAGAATGTTTAGCTACTCTACATTTAAACATCTCACATTGCCACAGAAAACTTCTGGAGCATGTCTGTGAGGTGCAAGCCAGTATACTATGTCCCTAATATAGTGACTAGAAAAAAAGTAGATGAAAGGAAGTGTAGCACTGTGGTTGTAACCTGGATGTTTATTTGGTATTCAGCCACCTTACCAAAATTTCTGGAAGAGAAGTGAGAGAGAAGCAGTGATTAGAAACACTCCCTAATCTAACAGCCAACTGATAATGAGACTACAGAACTAGTGCAAGACACAGTTAATGAGAGCCAATCTGGGTTTTGACTTGCAGTGTGAAGAAAGTCTCTAGAATGGATGAGCTATGCTTGTGGTCTGAACAATTAAATATTTGACAAGAAGAGTGAGGGAAGGAATAGCAGAAGCAACCAATCAGTTACAATCAATGTAAAAATTATTTAGCTGACGGAAATAAAAATATTACATTTTGTTAGATGACACTTCTTGATTCTACTTTAAATGGCTCAGTAGTCTAGAACATGAAGCACATGCCAAGCACATTAACTCTGCTCAAAGTGATTTCATCAAGCTGGCTTGAGTGGAGACCTTCACTTCTAACCTGATCTGTTAAAGCAGTATTTCACCTGGAGTGGGAAACTTAACAAAAGTTTGTTTCTAGAAAGCACATATGCACCAATTTTTATTTACTTCATCTATAATTTTGTTCAGAACAAGGTTAGAATTATCCTATCATAGGTGTTCTGACTCCTGAGAACACCTATGAGAACTCCTGAGCTTCCACTTGAGCCAGGAATATTTGAAGCTTTATCCTTCATATTATCCAGCCTCAAATTTTCCATGCTCGCAGTTATTCTTTTGTATTAGAGAAGGCTCTAGGCTTGGGCCCCTGTTGATGTAGTTTTTCCCTGTAGAGAGCCTGGGAAAGCAAGAAGCTAAATGTAGGTAGGAAAGATTAGAGACTGGGATGAGTGGCTAATGGTATTGGTTAAAATATATTGA